AAGAGTGGCAGATGAAACTGGAGGCTGATCACATCTGGAGAGATGGCAGTGACCAGTTAGTTTTCAGGGATGTAGACTATTTTCTTGGAAGAGAAGTTTTTGCTCTAGGGCATGTGTGCTTGCTGGAAACACAGAGACAGAGAGAGAGTGAGAGAGAGAGAGAGAGAGAAAGTGAGAAATCACCCCTTGGGGGAGGGGAGGAAGGCCAAGCGCAATCCCTTCTCCTCCATTCTCCTCTCAGGATTTTGGGCACTCACGCACACGTGCCCATTGTGAGTTTCAAGTCACCAGGTCTGAAACTCGAACAGTTATCTGCTGTGTGAGAGCCCAGCAACATAACCATTATGCCATCTGCTGGACCCCAGGGATATATGAAGACTTTTGAGGCATTCAAGTTGCCTTGGCCTAAAAGCAGCTATGAAGCTCAGGACAAAGGCTTGACCAGAGATACCTAATGATTTGTCTCCAGTATTCAGGGAACATGGGAAGCCATGAGAGTGATGGATCACCGAGTCAGAGTTGCTTCCCGGGCTTCTTGCTTGAGTTTCTGACTTCAGACAGATCCCACTTCCACTGGGTCACCAGTGCTAAAATTCTGTCTTGTCCCACGACCCTCATCCCTGAACTGGGATACTGCAGTGTGGTACAAGAGAAAGTCATGTGGCAGCTCCGTTTTCTAGGAAATTCTGGTTTTAGTTGTGTTCCATGAAGAGAATCTCCATTTCCCATTTCTACAATACTTCCTGACCCAAATCATTTTCTCATCAGACCACAAGATAATTTCCCCAGTGCCACAATAAATGAAGGAATACAATCTGAGGACTCACGTTGACAGCCCAGATCAACGATGCCAACCCTGTGACTAAAGGGTCACCAGTGTCTTCTCAATTTGGAATAATAAATTTCTCATTTAGTACTTTGAGAGGGAAATACCCATATTTCACTAGTCCTATATTTCTGGAATCTGAAAATAGTGTCTGGCAGATAAGATGTGCTCACCTTGTGCCATCATTTAATAACAGTCCTACAAAACTCTTGCTGCAGACTTTCCACAATAAAACAGGAGAACAAATCTATAGGAACCCGATAGCAACTGTGCACAGATATTTGGAGGGCGCCAGTCTCCCCAGAATTTAGACTATATCTACAAAGCCCGAAATGCCATCTACGTAGCCTGAAATATTTAACAGAATGCTCTTTGTACTGAATTAACTGAAAGATAAGGACACATTTATTATATTTGTCCTGATGGGATTCTCACACTAGCAAATACACAGCAAAATGGTAATCCTATTTATCACGTGCTCACCTCCACATTTTCTGCATTATAAAGGGCCACCATGGGCACTGGTCCAAGCCAAAGTTTTAGTAGTGGCATGTGTCGGTATTCTTCTGTATATTCAATTAACTGCTGAAAAAATTCTGGGAGAAAAAGATTTACTTTTAAATTGAGTCAAGATAAGAAGATTGTTAAGCGTAGTATACAAATACGTGTTTTCTCATTTTGATAAATATACTAATGCTGTATTATGTTACCATCAGAAGGAGCTGGGTGGAGGGTGGATATGAATCATTGAGCCACTTTTGCAGTTTTTCTGTATTTCTACAATTATTTCAAAATAATATTTGCCACAGCAAATAAGCAATACCAAAGGAATGCTAGCAATCACAGGATAACTGTTATTAGGTTTTGATCAACCGAAATGTGTACTTTTAAAAAAAAATTATTTTTATTTAACATTTTTAAATCTATTTATTTTAACTTGACCAGAGAGAGGTCTAGTGAGAGAGAGAGAGAGAAAGCAAGCCGCCTGGTCCAGGACTCGAACTGTTTTGGCCATGTGGGAGTCCACTGCCCTTAACCACCACACCACCTGTCGGCTCTCCAAATGTATACTTTTCAAAAACTCGTTAGCGAGTATCACATAGTTAGTCCGTGGTGGGACCTGGCTGTAACTAGATTCCAGAGTATGCTATTTTAATCATTACACCATACTGCGTTGAAATGTCTCTTCCATTAAAAAAAAGGAAGAGTCAAATCACTGGAGTCAAAAAGTCCTACTCCCTGTGGGACCAGCAGTTAGCGTAACGGCCATGTCACTGAACTCCCATGTAGCCAACCATGGTTCAAGTCCCGGACCCAGTGGTTTCAACTTATACTGGGCACATGTGCGTGCATGCCCAAGATCCCGAGAGGAGAATGGAGGAGAAGGGATTGTGGCATGGCCATTCCTCCCCTGGGGCGGGGGTAATTTTTCGCTTTCTATCTCTCTGTCTTTCTGGCGAGCACACGCACCCTATAGCAAAAAACCTCTCCAAATAAATAAATAAATAAATAATTAA